AACTCTTTGGTCCACATTGGAGCCTCCACTTCTCCATAGAGCGCCCCTCAGAAGGCAGAGCATCCTGAGGGACGGGGCTAAAAAAGAGGAATGTCCAAAGTTAATCAGACAGCAGCTCAGACTCAGACTGAGACTTCTATAACACTCGAAATGAGAAACAATGGAAGTTTTGTCTTCCTATAATATTCACGTAATTATCAATTAAATAGTCACAAAATTAACTGTTTCAGGGCGGTCTTAAGCAAAATGTCAAAATCATGTATTTCGCTCCTCTATTAGAGATTTAATTATTTAAATCTAAGGTGATTATGTATTTTTATGTAAAAGAGGAAACGCATCACACAGAAAATCAGTTTATACACAAGTTTTATTCAAAAAAGTTTGTTTTTCGTCAGAATTGTAGATTTGAAAACAGAATCAGAATCTGAGGAATCCTGGTTCTCATTTTATTCCCGTTTTCAGGGAAAAAAATTACAAAAAACAAAAACATTTTAGAAAAGTTCAACTTAAATAAATAAACAAATGATGAGGAATGTCTCTTTACTAATGAAATATAACAATGTACAAAATATATATAAAAAAATATATACAAATGTAAACAAACGCATACAGTATATTCAAAAATATAATACTGAATATTTGCATTGACTGTGCATTTTACACCCAGAGACTGAGGGCAGAGAGAAGACGTGATGAGATATCGTAGTGTATCAACACAGAACATTTAACAACAGAAACAATCAACCAACCGTCTCCATCAACCTACACTGTAGAAAAATAAAGCTTTACCTGAAGAGGGGCGCAGAGAAAACCAGAACAGATGTTTCCTGATATTAAAAAACATATTTTTGGATCAATTTCAGTCTGTAGTTTAAATCAGGAAAAGTCCTCGCCCGTTTGTAAATCAAACAAAATGCAACACTTCAGTTTGTTATGAAGAAAAATGCAGTAAAAGTATCAAAAAGTCATGTTTTGGTATCAGAACTGAGACTACAGAGATCTACGTGCGTGTGTGTGTGTCAAGTGTCCCGCTACGTCAGCACATCTCAACAATGACATCACCGGGTGGGCGGAGCTTGTTTAGTTCCTCGGAGAACAGGAAACGTTCCGACATTTTGGGAAATCCTGTTCGTCCCTTCTTGCCGAGAGTAAAATGAGAATACCAGCAGCCGCTTAGCTTAGCATAAAGACTGGAAACCCAACTATAAAACGAATTACTGCGCCACATCTCGTTTGTTTAAACTGTACAAACAAAAGAACATTTTCTTTGGAAACTAACTGGATTCTTCTGGGATTGAACCACATTTGTTTCAGGTTTGTATTTTATTATCTGAAGCTCTGACGAACCCTCAACGCCTACAGACCGACTCCCGATCTGCAGCTTCTCAAACTCAAGGCACTCTGAACCAGAACCCCCGACGGGTGTCGAGTCTCTACGAGGAGCTGCTCCGTCCCCCGTGAACAGCGGGGGGCTCTGTGGAGCACACAGAAAAAAACACAAAAAAAAAAAACACAACAACTCTTCCCAGCAGCCAAACGCTGACCAATCAGAGGCTCTGCTGGCTGGGGGAGGAGTCCGATGTGATGGCATGGAGCGTGACGCCGTTGCTGCCCGTCACCCACGGGTGGAGGAGTATCTGCTCCAGGGTCGGCCGGTCAGATGGCCGCTGGCTCAGACACCAGCCAATCAGCTGCTGGCACTCTGAAGTAAAAATAAACACGAGGAGATGAAGAACACTCATCTCTGGTTTGAGTTTAGACACGTTGTTCAGGCGTCGATGTAAAAACCTGGTCGTGTGATCTCGTCACGCTGCGGCTCACCTGAGGAGATGTCTCGTCTGAAGTAGATCCGTCCTCTCAGGATCTCCTCGTCCTGTTCGAAGGGGATGTCCCCGCACACCATGTCGTACAGCAGCACGCCCAGAGACCACACGGTGGCCGAGCGACCGTGGTACCGGCGGAACCGGATCCACTCCGGAGGACTGTACACCCGCGTGCCTGGAGGGAGGAGCGTTACATCACTACAGGTACAGTGTGTGTCGGAGAGGAGCAGGAAGTGACAGATTATCATCATCATCATGCTGGAACATACTACCGGAGACGCTGCCGACATTACAAAACTGGTGTATGATGGGAAGGTAGTCACTGACCCAAAACACCTTCAACTTTTCCGATGTTTTAAAACTGTAGATTTTCAGAAACAATCTCCACAGCTCTTAGATTCTCTCAGCTGATCGGACTCACCATCGAACTCGGTGTAGGCCCCGTCTTTGAGGAGGGCCCCGGAGCCGAAGTCGATCAGCTTGAGTTGCCCGGTCCTCAGGTCCACCATCAGGTTCTCGTCCTTGATGTCTCGGTGGACGACGCCGCAGCCGTAGCAGTGACGCACCGCCTCCAGCACCTGCAGGAAGAAGCCGCGCGCCGCCGCCTCGTCCAGCGCGCCGCGCTCCGTGATGTAGTCGAACAGGTCCTGACCCGGCTCGGGACGCTCCATCACCATCAGCCAGCCGTCCGCCTGCTCCCACCAGCCCAACAGACGCACCACGCCGCCAAACGCCCCGCCCACTTTCTTCAACAGCACCACCTCCAGAGGAACCACCGCGCCACACTGAGAAAGAGTCGGATCATCAGCTCACTGTGCATCAATTAAAATACATATTTGTAATTACTAAATGCGGGACCAATTCGTCTTTTGTGCTTGTAAATAGTGCGTTTTAATTGTTAATTGTTGTTTACTTGTACACAAGTCTCTTTAATAAAAAGGATGAATTAACTAATATAGCAGCTGAAGTGGTAATTACACTGAGAGGAAGTTGTTATAAAACAGTTATATCTCATGTATAGTCTCACCAGAGAGCCCCACTCGGTCACTCTGTCTCTGCACACGTGCTTCACCGCAACCTGCATGTAAACAAACACCATCAACACACCGACTCCATACAGCTGTAACATACAGTATAAGAGGATAGACGATGGTTATCTGTAAAAACACATAAACAGCCAGAGTACAAACATCTGACTGTTAGCAGTTACATAAAGCTCTTTGTCTTTCTTTAATATTGAATTAAAAAGCATTTCCTCACCAGTTTTGGGTAATTGTATAAAAATATTATCAGTCGTGTAACTATTTCAGTTTCCTCAAAGAGAATAAAGCACAGTAACAGGATTGATTTTCAATATAAGTGGATGTTTAAGCTTCACAGACCACGTTTCTTTGTGAAAACAAAGACCACATGCCAGGCAGACCCGGGACCGTCAAGTTACACGATTGAATCCGGAAGTCAAGTGGAATAGTCACTGCCTTCCAAATAAAAGCACAAAGTCAAACCATAATGCCCGGTTGGTTTTCACACGAAAGACTTTACCTTTTGGTTCTGAATATTAAATATATTAAGAGAAAATTAAATTAAGTAATGCAAACATCAATGAATATGTATAAAGGGAAATAAGAAGGTGAACTATGGGAAAATACTAATATATGTAAATTATATATGTTGTTGGGTACAACAGCTGGGATAATCTGAAGATGTTTTAGTTTTAGTCAATTTACAACTAAAATAACTTTTACTAATATTTGTTTTAATACTTTAGTGATGCTTTTATTTTGAAGGCATACACCGGAAGCCCAGCTGCCTGCAGTGTGTGTAACTTGACGCGTGCTCGCCCAGCAGCGGCCATGTGTGCTGAGAGACCAAAACAAAGCGGTTCTCCGCGCTCTTCTTACAGGCAGCCCGTCGGAGAGGCGCATGGCCGAGTAGACGGTGCCGAACCCCCCGCTGCCGAGCACCGAGCCCAGTCGGTACAGCTTCTCAAACGGCTGCTTCTCCGCTTTGACTAAAAAAAGACAAAGAAAGAGGTTATATACACACAGAGCCAAAAGTCCTCAGATGACCCACGTTGTTTTGTGTCGTTTAAAAATGGCGGACTGTCGGCATCATCTCCAATTTAAACGATGTAAACTGTGAGATTTAAGTTTTAACAAACATATACCGTGTTATAACGAGTTAGAGTTCGTATAACGAGATAATTACACATAATTGGCCACAACACCTGGCTTTCAAAATGGCCCCAGACTGTTTTAATTTTAAGGTCACACTGAAGCACACATCCAGCCTGGGTTCAAAAATGTGTGAATTTAAAATTAAAATAGTGATTTACTCTGTAAAACTACCAAATGTAATCTGGTTTTAACATCTACGATGTGAACACGTGATGCCCGGAAGACATCTGCTGAGTTAATTTGAACATATTTTGAATTTAAGGTGTTTTTTTTAGTCAGTTAGGACCGTTACCTTGATGCAGCTTCGCCGGCACATCCATGCCGGACGAGATGTGAGAGAAGGAGCCCAGCTTAGAGAGCAGCATGCTGCTCGTGGCTTCTCCCAAAAATAATAATGAAAATATTAGCGTATTAACTCCCCAGATAGCAGCAAAGTATCAGCGTCTTCTTCAGGGGCAAAATGAGCCGGTTACACGTCAAATATCCATCGGTAATCCGGTAGAGACCAGTTAGACAGAAACAGCATACACACAGAAAGCGCGCCACTGGCCACCACCACTATTTACAAAGATCAGACAGATCCCTCCGCCATGGCTGAACGTTGGACTAAAACCCACAGAACCTTCCGCTTCATGAACAAACTTAACACGTGGATATGCAGTGATGTGACGAGTAGTATCGGCTCGTGGCGAATTTAAAAGTCAGTCACGTGAAAATTCAACCTTAAGCCAATGACTAAGTAGGAGGACTATTTTTACGTAGTAGGACAAGTCGCAGGGATTCAGAGAGGGGTCGCTTCGGCAGTGCTGCGGTCCATGCTTCAAAATAATCACAAACATCTTATGTAAAAGAATATTTTAAAGTATTTGATATACAAGAACAATAATGTCAATAATATAAATATCTGATAATTATTATAAATAGTTAATTTAGTAACATACATATATTTATGTGACAAATTCTCATTGTTTACATTCTGGTGAACCCGTTGCCCTCATCTGCAGTGTTTCCTACATTTCCCAGAATGCCTTTCCAAAACACCACAGTCACATGCACAAGACAGAGTAAAATGTGTAGTTGTCTGTGTTATCACTCATGTTCTCCTGCATACTCTCTCTTATTATTATTCTGTCCTTTTCGACTCAAAATCTATTTATGCTACAAATACTGTTCATATTTCTACACATGAATAAACAGTTTCTTGCGTTTTCATAAGACCTGAATACATTTTTTGTGTGTTTGTGTCACATGATACTAATATTTTCTATCTTGTAACTCTGCTTTTGGTCTCTTCAGAGTCTAAAAGCTCCATAAAGTTCACCAATTATGATAATTTTCCAACTCCATATGAGCTCATTCTGATAGCTAATCCTGCAGTAACTGGGGTGGCAACTTGGAGGCAGCTGAAACAAATTCGGACCACAACATGAACATATTATCACCTTTTAAGCGTATATGTTGAACTTGTCAGCAAACAGTTGCTTATTTCCACATCCAGCAATTACAGAGTAACAGGATTATACACCTGGAGTCTTTGTGTCGCCTGATAAGTGGAAGTCCAATATTCTCTCGCTTTTAGCTCCTTTTTTGGTCTCCACCACTAGCTGCTAAGAACTCCATTATGTTCACCAGGTAGTCTCTGACTGTGTCTGTTTGTCTGCTGCTGAGCAGATAGTGGACAGATAAAATAGTATTAAATTAAATTACTTATTTACACCCCCTTTTTCCCACATAATATGTTGTATTTCTGCTTGGCGTGAACAACACCTTGCAGCATTACAGTGCATTTGTCTTTGCTCTTATGATTTACTCCCCCGGTGGAAGAGTGTTGAGCTGAGGAGGCAGTGGCTGGGTCACATGACCTGGTGTATTATTGGCCAACAGAGCCCAAATGTAGGTCAGCCCCTCCTCCACTTCACTGTAAATGAATGTAAAGATACTCACGGACAGAAAACAGATGTGAAGACGCAAACAAAGAGATGCTGTTGTTTTTCAAGCTGATCTGAGCTCAAAGCCTCTCACAGAGTTGGACATCCTTTTAATCACATCGCTGTTCACTCACTGGCCCTGAAGCCGCTTAAGACAGTCTAATTTCTTTGAGTGTTTTTCACAGTTGACTTTTACGGCTTTACACACTACATTGTATCGTTTTATTTGTTCTAATCTGGTGTTTATATGTTGAATTTGTCACGATTGCTGACCCTTCAACTCATTTAAGTGCTGCACCTTAAAGAAATAGTAGTTAGTAGACATTTTTAGGAAATTTGCTTTCTGGCGGAGAGTCAGAGGAGAAGATCGATACCCCTCTCTAGAGACAGGGGGAAACATCTAGCCTGGCTCTCGCCAAAGGTATCAAAATCCACAGGCTAGCTGTTCACCCTTGTTTACATTCATTATGCTAAGCTACGCTAACAGGCTGTTGGACCCTTACATTTATATTCCAGACACAAGAGTGGTATCAATAATCTTATCTAACTCTCCGCTAGAAGGCAAATGAGCAAATTCACTGGTTTTGATCTAACTTCATGATGATTGTTGACATTTTTATTCACTATCTTGTGTATCTTAAGACAGTGACATATGTTGGTATGATCCAACTTCATTCACTTAGTCATGACTGCGTACCATCTTATAGAAATGTTCAGTACATATTCCCCAAATGTAACAGTATTGGACTTTTTGAAATTGTATTTAGTGTTAGAGTTTAGTTTTTCTGCAAGTTTTATTTCCCAACATGAACGTCTGAATGTCTTTTCAAATCCCTTCCTACAAGAACTACAATTTCGGGAAAAAGGTAGTTGTCTTTAAATATATGGAGACTTAAAAAAATGGGAATTTGCCATGTGTTCATTTTTTAATTGTAGATTGCTAAATGCCCACATTTTACATATACAGAATACTGAGACCTCAGTGTCCTCTGGTCTTGACCAATAGGCTACTGTAAAGATCGTTTTCATTGGGACGATCTAATACAAAAAGTAGTTCCAGTGAGAAAAGTTCACAATAAAGTCGTGGATATTGTTTCTTAAAGGAGATTTTTATTTTTATTTTGATGCTTAAAAGTTCTCTACACTTCCGTTGTATTTTGGTAAAAGCAAACTCTCTTCCAACACGAATCAAACAGAAACTGAAGTCATGACTCGATACCACCACATTTAAGTGATGAAATGCATTCTGGTGTTTTGGTTGAGTGTGCAGCAGCAGATATCACCGACCATGTGTTCACATGTTGCCCACGACATGAAATGTGACTCATGTCATTTGTTCTCTTCTATTTTTATCTGCATCTATTTCAGAACGCTGTGAAAGAACAGAGAGTGAAGCAGCTTTGTACCAAGTCACTTCTCTCCAGGACTTTTGGCGACACTTCAGCTTCTGGTTTCATTTCCACGGAGCGTCACCGTCAGAGAATTGCAATGTCAGCCGAGGACGGCAGCACCTGTGACGGTGAAGATGAAAGATATCTGCCATGTTGCTCCTCGGCTAAGCTAACTATCGTAGTCGGAGACACTCACTTCTCCGAGGAGAAGACGCTTCTCGTTCAGAGCTGCGGCTATTTCCGAGCTCTGTATCGTTCCGGGATGAAGGAGTGTCGGCAGGAAGAGATCCACCTCAAGTCTCTGCACGCTCGAGGTTTCCTCATCGCCTTGGCGGTGTTGCGAGGTGAGATTCCCGACCTGGACGGCGACGACATTGTCGAGGCCATCGAATGTGCCGCTTTCTTGCAGGTGGCGCCGCTCGCCAAGCATCTCATGGATCTCATTGATTCGGACAACTGTTTGCTGATGTATCACACCGCTGCGACGTTTGGCCTCATGGATCTGTACCACGCCGCCGCGCTGTTCATCCGAGACATGTACGCCGACCTGGAGATGGAGGTTCAGAAATCCTTGACGCCAGAGCTGATCTCCTACGTGGAGTCTTTGACCCCGAGGACTTTCGTGGCTGTGGGCGCTCATGTGACCTGCGGCGTGGATGAAACGGTGCACGCCGCCTCCAGGACGGTCTGCTACCTGGATGAAACCGGTAACAGTTGGAAAGTATTGACAGATCTTCCGCCAGAGGCCAGCACCTCCATGGCCGGAGTGACCGTTTTAGACAACAGACTTTACATCGTCGGGGGAGTTCATGCACTTCACAAACAAGTCGCAGTGTCTTGTTTCTGCTACAGCGTCGAAAACAACAGCTGGAGCCGGATCTCCAGTCCGGCACAGCTGCGATACAACCTCAGCCTCGTGGGCGTAGACGGACGTCTTTACGCCATCGGAGGAGAGTACGAGCGGACGTTGATGTCATCTGTGGAAACGTACGATGTAGAGACCGGGAGGTGGGGGTTTGCCGCTCACTTACCTCGACCGGCGGCGGGAGCGGCGTGCACCAAAACCATGGGCAGGATATTTGTGTGTTTATGGAAGCCGATGGAGACCACGGAGATCTACGAATACGTCTCAGGGTCGGACGAGTGGCGGCTGGTTACCATGCTGATCAGGCGCCAGAGCTACGGCCACTGCATGGTCGGCCACAGGGACGACCTGTACGTGGTGAGAAACGGGCCGTCGGACGACTTCCTGAGATGCCTCATGGACTGTTATAATCTGAACTCGGGCCAGTGGTCGTCTCTGCCCGGACACTTCGCCAACAGCAAAGGTTCGCTGTTCACGGCGGTGGTGAGAGGCGACTCGGTGCTCACGCTCAACAGGAGCGAGACTCAGGAGTTCGCCGTCGATGGTAAAACCTGGAAGCCCCGACGGCAGATGAAAGGTTTCCCCAGAAGTGGATCCGTGTGGACGTTTCTGCTCCGGCTGCCCGATGCTCTCATGCTGCAGTAACGGTTCCACTTGCTCTGGGATTTATTGTACTGTCGATATCTTCTTACACTAAGACATGCATTTTCTACAGCTCTCTGCTAAATGTCCATAATTTCTCTTTGCGGTAATAATGTGTTTTCTGAGATCATGGGAACACGGTGGCAAAAATAAATAAGAGGTTTTGTTCTCCTGCGAATAGTGTTTCTTGTAGTGCTTCACTTCAGGGTCTGGGTTCAGGGTAAGGCTGGGTTTAAGTTAGAGTAATACAAAATGATTGGGAAAGAGATGTGGACACAACAGAGACCCTGTTAACTCTTGTTATTTCAAGTGTCTCGTATTCGGACAAAAGCCAGATGCATTGTGACACGTTTTGGTTTACACTCAGCCACATGCGTCTCTGTTGGCCAGATACTACTTACCTCTGAGCTGAGTGACCCTGTGATTGGTTGGACGTACAGTTTGGACGTAGTAACAGTTGGGAGGAGTAAAGATACAAGGGTGGATTATGAGACAATGGGGCCCTGGGCACAGACATGCAAAGGGCCCCATCACCTCTCCTACATATAGGAGCAAGACACACATCATTTATAGTTGTCTGGCCTCTTTGTTGTGGTTATTTTGTTTCTATATGTTTTTGTTTTATGTCACTTTGTAATTGTTTTGCTATTTTTGTCGCTATTTTGTTGTCTGTAGTTGTTTTTGTCTCTTTGTAGTTTTGTTGATATTTTACATTATGGCCAGTTAAAAAGCCAAATGATATTTTGTCCATCTAAAACATTAAATGTAATGTATAAAGCTGTCATTTATATAAAAGAAGTAATTTAAAGGGGGTTTTAAGAGACACAACAGACTTTATGAGAGTATTTGTATGACTTTAAGTCTTCCATAATCATCAGGATCTGTTTAATAACGTCAATCTGATCGTCTCACACAGTCGGAGTGTCTCTCAGTGCTGCTGGCTCCATGTGAACTGCAGTGTTTGTCCTCACACAGAGCTTCTGTTTCCTGCATCCAGCCTCGGTTTCCTGTTGGCACTGAGCGGCGATGATGATGGAGGTTAACGACAGGCAGAGCCAGGCACCACGGGCAGCCGGGCGGGGCAGCTGGCTGCGAGGGGCCGAGGTCAGGCCGGGACACTCGATGCCCTCCACAACCTGCGAGCTTGAGTCTGGGACCGAAGCCAGGAAGCAGAGCTCCAAATCAGTGATGGATGAGCTTCTCTCTGTGGACATTAATCAGGTCATCAGTCCGACCGCATGATGGGAGCTGTCCGCTTCGCTGCCTTTCACAGTTAAAACTCACTTTAGATGATCTGTTTGTCAAAAAAATCAAAGGTCTCTGAGGATCTGAGGCTGCAGAATCATTTTTTAAATCAAAACTTATCTTTAAAAAACAGATTCTTAATAATGCCACCACATTGTTTTATGCGCAGCATGTCTTATCTGTTTTATTATTGTTGTGTATTTTATTCCCTTTTATTGTTTTTGTATTATTTTATTTGCCAAATTGCACTCCTGTGTTTTAATCCCTGTTCACCCATGTAAAGCACTTTGTTTTGTAAATAAAGTTTCTTATTATTGTGATTATTATTATTTGTATTGTTGTTTGTATTGGCTCCATATTTTCCCTAGTGGTAAGTACATTGAGTCAAGTACTGCACTTAAGTACAGTTTTGAGGTACTTGTACTCGACTCCAGGACATCTCAGAGGTAAATATACTTTTTAATTCACTACATTGATCTGACAGCTTTAGTAACTAGTTACTTTAGGAGAGTAACTTTCTACCACTGGTGTTATTATTGGAGACATTTTGCCTCCAGTGTGTTTAAACTGCTGTCAAGAGTCCTCCCACTCTGAATTACAACCAAGAGGTTGATGTGAACAGTTAATCCCTCGCTAAATACTGTTAATTCAGCCTCACATGAACAGACTGTTGGTCTTGATAATGTTGTGAGGAGACCATGTACGCGAGGTCTACAAAGGTCCCCTCACACCTCTAAAACACAGAGATTCTTCGTGTCCAGTCTCAAAACAGGAAGTGAGGGTGATGTTTTGCTCTTCTTCCTTTATTTTTCCTGGCTGTCAGATAACAGCTTTAAAGAACGTTGTGATTGGCTGACAAACAGGCACAGAGAGTAAAGTTGTTTTGACTGCAGGTCAGCGAGGTGACATGCGCTCTGTGATCTCTGTTTACACGCGGTGTGTTTTTATCCAACGAGCACTGCAGAGGAACTAGGTCAGTCTAAAAACAGCCTTTACACACACACACACACACAGGGTCTGAAGTGATGTCATTGTTGCCGTGGTGCCGTTGACCTCGGGGTTGTCCTCATGATATCTCAGGCATTCCCTCGTCACTGTGAAACAATCTTATTCAATCTTTATCTTATTCAATCTTTATTTACCCCTAAAAAATACCAAACATCCCTTCATGTGTCCTTTCATTTCACAAGACAAAAAACAAACCCTTTAAAAACATCTTCACTTGAAAAGTCCCTTGTTAATAAATTAAGTAAAATACAATAATTTGTATTTAACAAATTCCAATTATGAACAATTTAAGTTAAGATACACGAGCGGTTCAAACCCTTTAAAATAATCTTGGTTTTCAAATTAAGCAGATATTTTACATGACTTTTTGTTCATTGTGTCCTAAAATCTGAAGCAGCAGTTCAACCCATTTATTAATGTATAAACCGATTGTATTAATATATATTCAAATCTATTGGAAAAACTATTCAGACCTTTTACCTTGTACTTGCGACTAAAAAAGTCGCAAGTACAAGTTAAATTCCTGCATTCAAAATTAAACTTCAGTAAAAAAAAAAAAACATATTGGCAATAAAAAGTACTTAATTTATCAAAAGTAAATAGCAATGCTATTGTTTTTTTGTACCATATTATCCAATTATTATTAGCTCAGAACATCATTGGTACCCGTCTCATCAGTGACAAGAGGTGCCCGCGAATTATACCTTTTTTCATGTTTTAGAGGAT